TTTATTTACAAAATGACTTTAATTGCTGCTTGTCCGGCCCCTGAGCTGCTGCTTTCAGTTTAATTGAATACCCTGGTGTAGAGGATCTGTGTATGGCTCTCCGTGGGTCTAATATGAGTCAGGACAGGGTCTTCATGAGATGTGAGGTCAGAGCTATGGTCTTACAGTTAACTAAGGGTGTTTCTTATTGAGCACATCCAGGAACCAGGCAGGATGTTTTCCACAGTCGGGCTCAGGTTAAACAGGCGTGTTTTTCACCAGCTCACTGGAGCAGGTTCTACTGGTGCTGATGCCATCCAGCCCAGCTGCCTTCCTCTCATAGAAATCAGTCAACAAGATGTCTGCAGTTTATTTCTCTCTTGTTTTCCCCTGAAAAAGGACTTCTCGCAGTAAATATGTAAAATTAAAGACCCAGCACTCGTTGAAGCGTTGCATATCCTGCTTTTCATGCCAAAGGTTTAGGGGGTGCAGATGTTTGATCAAACCTAACAACTGTGAGGTGTTGTATGCTGTGTTAGCCCTCAGAGCAGGTGCTGTAAATGACTCTCAGCTACTACTACATTAAAATTTTAGCTCAGTGTCTAAAAGTGACTGAGTTATGGACATTTTTGCGTTTGATAAAATCAGCTGGCTGTGTTGGCCATGCTGAACTGGGTTGACTCCAAACGTCAATCAGTTGCAAATTTACTCCCAATAATTTTTATGTGAGTTTTATTTGAAGTCACCCAGTGGTTCATGCGATATTTTGCTAAGAGACAAATGCACAAACAAGGTTAAAATTAGGATGTTTCTTGTATTTTAAAAGCATACGTTTTATCAAGGCTGGGTATTCAGAAAATGAATTTATTCATTTGTTTATTTTTTTTATTTTTTTGCAAGTACAGTACATGACAAAATAAGACACATTAAGGCGTGTTTTTAAAATCAGATCATCTGTTCAGCTCTTCTCAAGTAATCAATCACGTCACCATCCTGGAGTAGAACAACTCAGTTGAAGAGCAAACAGATGCCACAGCGGAGCAGCTTTTTAAACCATGCATCTGGGATTCACAATTCACCAATACAATAATATCTGAGCCAACAAATTTACACACCTGCACCAAACTGTAGAGGTCTGCAAAGACATTATGGTAATCATTTTATAATGAAAATCCAGTTCAACCATTTAGCATTTCTATGACCTTAATTAATGAGTATCAACACTGACAATGTAGCCTAAGTGTTTACACTGAGGTGCTTTAGAGTTCGTTAAGCAGAAGGATATGAGCTTAAATCCACCTGCACAACTGGGTGCCTAAACATTTGTTCTATTTAGACTGAACAAGCATGCACCAAAATGAAACATAATGTGATTTTAGTCATATTATTATCACTGAGATTATCTTCCTGACATGCAGTTCCTGTACGTTCATGTGAGTCTACTGTGCAATGGTTTTACTTAATGCTGTTATAAACTGATGATTTGCACATAATCAAAATGTTATTGTAGTTTTGTTTAAAATGATTAATTTTAAAATAAATAGCAGCATACACACAGTCATTAAAACCAGTTAAAATCAGGTCTCTCTTGTAAATGAGTCCTTGAGGCTCAACGGGATTAACCTGTATAAATAAATGTTGTATGAATGATTTCCCACCAACGTTAAGTTTTCCTGTCCAATGACTTGCTGGTGTTCATCCAAACATTTCTGACCTCTGGTGGATGTTACAGAAAATAAACTCAAATCTCAGATGAAGAGATTTGGACAAAGTTATCTCCAAAGGTCAAATGATAACAGTTTATAATGAATTAGTCAAATATTAATAACAAAATGTCCATTTGTTTATCTAATGTTATGTAGCAGAATTTCTGATATTTTTATTTTTCATTTTAGAACGAAATTGAGTTTCATGTCTTTTTATATGTGTGTTCTTTAAAAATATCTGAATTTACAAGTCAAACACAGGCAGTTCAAACTATTATTTAAAAATAAATAAATTTCTAAATAAAAACCAAATTTCTCAAAATTTAGTCTTCATCCCAGGTGAACTACATTTCACAATCTGTTGCTGATTACGTTAATGGACGCATCGCAGTGTTATTCTTACTTGTATCAAAAATCTGAATGAAAAACAGGATTAGATACAGATTATTGTTCATTGCCCTCAAAGATGTAAAATGTTTGTTTATGAGTGCAATTCATGTGCACAAAATAAAATGTTTTGTGTAAATTCAACCCTTTTCTCTATACAAAAGCAGAAACTTCATTACTATCCCTCAACCTTAGTTGAAGTATTTAAAAGCACTAAAGTAAATTAATATTAACCTAATCGTAAGACTTATAAACAAAGTAGAAGCAGCTTTAAATAAAAAGTGTGACTAAAAAACAACTTTAAACAGGACACACTTTTATGTTGAGTGAAAATGATGCTTTCTAAAATATTTTTCTATTTCCCTACCCAAGTTCAAGCCTCAAGCCAGATTAGCACTTAATGATACAGTGAAATGTACACAAACATAAAAATAATAATAATAATAATTGCCAGAACAATGAATTCCTGAGCTCAAGTTTAGTTTCTTTACTTTCTCAGTTTCTCAGCTCTGATAGTGACACTTTTATAGCCAACAGAACACTAATAAAGTTAATATTTCCACAAATAATAAAACTTAGAATGTAATATTGTTTTTGTTAATACATTGTTGGATTAAAATTAGAATTTGATTGACACTATGGTCAAAAAATAGGTGTGCACTAAACATATGACCCCAAGCAACTTGTCAGACTGGAGTGTGGATTTGGTGCTCCAGTCATTGGTTTACTGTTGGGGGATTGGGTATGTGGGTCTCAAGCAGAACTGGGGCCTCATGTACAAAGACGTGTGGATTTTCTACTAAAACAGATCATCATATGGATGAAGTCATCCCGTCCAGCTGGCATGGCATGGATCAGGGACGACTGAGAAATACCTGATCAGTATTTGGTCGGTGCGACCCCTGAAAGCACGCTGCCTCCCAATTCTTCTACTGGTGGTGTCATCCTGTAGCACCACAGCTGCCATTGTCCCACAGTTATGCACAGCTTTACGCAGCTATTTATGGACGTATATGTGATGGTGTACACGTTGTAGACCCGAGGAGTCATCAGAGGTGAGTTGCTCTGAATTAATTTGCTGGTCTGACATTGTTTTCTTCTCACCCCTTACACCGTTCACACAAACTTTAGGCTCCTCCTGTGTCTGTGCCCCTCGCAGGCGTGTGATCACTGACGTGTTTACTTCTACATGTGACGAAAATATAAGAAACTTTACAGTTCGCCTTGAAGTAAGGTTGTTTTGATCATTTTAAAGGCGTGTTAGATGTTTATGGGGCGGCTGTGGCTGAGTGGTTAGAGCAGTCGTCCTCCAGTGCAAGATTTGGGGGTTCGATTCGACCAGCAACCACATGCATAAGTGTCACTGGGCAAGACACTGAACCCCTCAATGCATCTGATGTGTGTCCCATCTGTGTATTTGGACTGTACTTATATAGCACCTTTCTATTTTATCAAGACACTCAAAGCTCTTTACACTACAATCTGTGCCTCATTTACCCATTCATACAGCACTCTACTAGATCTCTACAAAGCTAATTGAACAAATCATTCTAAAAAGAGACTAATCAGAGCTTTATCACATTCATACACCGATGGGACACACATTGGAGGCAATGAGGGGTTCAGTGTCTTGCCCAGGGAAACTTCGGCATGTGACTGCTGATGAAATCAAACCCCCAACTCTTGTACTGGAGGACGACTGCTCTAACCACTCAGCCACAGCCGCCCTATGTATGAATGTGATAAAGCACTGAATATTCTTTGTAGTGATCTACAAAGTAGTTGAGTGCTGTATAAATGGGTAAATGAGGGCACAGATTGTTGTGTAAAGTGCTCTGAGGATCTCGATAAGATAGAAAGACGCTATATAAGTACAGTTCATTTACCATTTATGTTGTTTGTGGTTACATGTGGTTTGGTTTCCTTGTTTGGATTTAAACCATAAATGACCAAACTCATGAAAAAAACATCATATTTGAATCAACAAAAGTCCATGCTCAATAATCCAGGTATGCAATCCAACAATTTTCAGTCAGGTCATCTGGACAGTTTCTTTATTTTTTTGTGCTGAAACATTTCACCTTCCATCCAGAAGGCTTCATCAGTCAAGGAAACACACAACACAAAACTGATTCTTCCCCCAACAGCTTACTCCAAAGTGGAACAAACCAGTTATGTTGGTGCTTCTTAGCACCAACATGATGACCTGACTGAAAACTGTTGGATTGTATACCTGGATTATTGAGCAAGGACTTTGTTGGTTTTGAACCAGTTTGACATGACTGTTGACAAGGAAGAGGGCTGGCACCGGAGGAGGGGGCGTGCCAAAGACACCATCTTAGAACCAATATAACTGGTTTGTTCCACTTTGGAGTAAGCTGTTGGGGGAAGAATCAGTTTTGTGTTGTGTGTTTCCTTGACTGACGAAGCCTTCTGGATGGAAGGTGAAACGTTTCAGCAAAAAAAAAAGAAACTGTCCAGATGACCTGACTGAAAATTGATGGATCATATTTGAATATCCTTTAAATTCAGAAAACCAAACAGAGTCAAATTTCTGTGTATTTACGTGAGTTCCAGTATTTTGTAGTCTGATACTGTGGGTTGAAAAAGTTTGTGTGGAGGTAAGTACATTCTCACGCTAGGTCAAAAATGTGCGTGACATTACACACACTGTCATGCTACATTAATTTGTATACATCTTGATATAAGTGTAGAATCTGTCGCACACAACCTTTTCGTGCATACGCATCATTGATACATGAGGCCCCTGGTGTGTGAAAAAAAAATTACAAATAGCAGTAACCCACAAAAATAATATTTCCTGGCTCTCATGGCCTTACTTGGACAACCAGCCAACTTAAGCAGAAAAAAAGCTATTTTTAATTAATAAAACGTCAAAAGAGAAAAGAAAGACAAGCCAGACAAATGTCAGAGTTTCTGAAGACCACTCTGAACCTTCTCTGGAGGTGACTCATTTTTCTTTTTAAAAAGGTTTTTAAGCTTTAATGTTTTCTTGCTTTTATCCCTGTCTTTGTTCTTGTCATCCCCACCTTCAGAGGGTGATGCATGAGATGGGAACAAAGCTTTTGATGGTGGCACTGGTGGCTCAACCTCAGCTTGCAGCCTGGTCTGAGGCAGGACCGGGGTGGAGACCGACAGGGTGGTTGGGACTGAAGCCATGGGCCTGCAGGACTTTTCAAGGATTCCATCATAAACAAGCTGACTCAATGGGCCAGTGTTATGAAGCTCAGAGGAAGACTTCCATGGTGGCTGAGAGGTTAACATAAGGTCTGGCTGTCCAGTGTGCCATGGTAAAGAACTGGATTCGGATGTTCCCACTTCCTCCATAAGTACTGGTTGTTTTAATATTTCCATTGGGACATCAACTCTATCTCTGCTAATGTTTCCAGTTGAAGTATCTGTTGAAATGTAAGTGTCATCTCTTGGCATTCTTGGTACTCTTCTTCTGAGAGAACTGACAGATACATCAGCTTCATTTCTCAGTTTGCCTCTGCTTGTTGATGGTCTCAGACCAAACTCTTGTAAATCTGCAAAGGTTAGAGTGTCCATGTGTTCATCGAACATCTCTCTGGGCAGCTTCATGGAAGCAGTATCTGTATAATACTCCAGCTCATCTCTAGATATCTTTCTTTGTGGTATTCTAGCCATGTCAGCAATTTTCTCCTTTGCAAATGCCCTTACAGGGGAATCAAGATGACTTTCCCCTGTATTCAGTGCATGCTTTCTAGAACCTGTGTCTTGGGACATTCCCATTGGATTCCTTGTTGTTCTTCTAGATTCAATCAGTATTTCAGCATCATCTCTTGAAATAATTTTAGAGGTGTTATCCATGGATGTCCCCATCATATCTCTTGATATCTTTCTCTGTCTGTCTGTTGGTGCTTCTAAATCAGTCCTAAGAATATTTCTCATGTCCAGCGGTAAATTGCATCTCTCTTTGTAGATATTTCTTGAAGTTATATCTTTCAAACTTCCCATCATATCTTTCTCTATTTTTGTTGATGAAATCTCAGTATCTAACTCATCTGAAATCCCCTTTCCAAGTGCAACATCCATGAAAAAGTCACTTATATCTCTGGATAGCCTTTGTGGTGTAGTGTGTATGAAAGTCTCTTCAGTAGAAGTCTTTACCAAACAGGTTTCTAAAGAAGGATCCAAAGGTTTGTCTTTTGCCATCTTTCTGTGGGAAACATCAAGTGAGGTTTCGTGTTCATCCATGTAAGATTTGTGAATGGGAGATTCAGTAAAGGTTTCTACATGCTGACTCAAATGTTTTGCAGTTGACCTGTCTGCAGGGAACTCAGTTTCATCACAATGGAACCTTCTAGGAGAAGGATCAACAGTAGAAGAAGAAAACATTTTGGTGACAGGAGGGGATGTTGAAAAATCTGAGTCTGAAAACCTCTCTTGGGAATCTCTGTTTGTGAAATAAAGGAGAGAAAAGAGGACAAGAGGTAGATCAGTTAACAACAAACTGTCAACAGTCAAAAAGAATTTTGCTCATTAAGCAGAGAGCCTTACTGCTTTTTAAGAGTTTTGAAGATGCGCTCCTCTCCTTCATCATAACAAGGGTAAGGGGAACGAATAGGGATCAGAATGTCGGGGTCTGGGGAAATCATGGCAGCTTGTGGCTGAGAAGTGACGCCGGGACGACGTGCTCTATGCACGGTGGATCCCCGAAGTCGTGGGGAGCGTTTAAGTGGTGTAACAGGAACTGGGAAAAAGCAAGCATTAATTGGTAAAGAGGAAGCATTTCGTCTTCACATCACTGTCAAAATGTTGTTTTATGGGGTTTGGTTGAATGATGTATAGATTTGTTGTAGAGGTAATGTTTATAAAAGGATAACCACAATTTTGTTTTGTTCTCTTTTTGTACATAAAGGGGAACTAAAAGCATAATATACAAAACACTAGGACTATCTGTCACATTTTGTTTCAGTTGTCCAGTTGTCACAAATATAGCTTTTGATTCAATACAGGTAATACATGCATGCAGTGGTTAGGAGTTTGAATGGGAATCAGAAGGTCAAACTCTGGGTTACTCTAATTGGATGAAAGACTTGTGGGACAACTGAGCTCAAGTCCAAATGGATCATGTTCTTTTAACCACTCAGTTCTGTAACTTACTTTGCATCTGTGGTAAAATTGGCGCCGCGGGCTCATCTAAAAGATCTTCTATAGATCCATGAATGGAGTTGTGACATGAACAGGATGACTGTGGCACTCTGGGAAATCCCAGAGCCAATGCTTCTGAGTAGAGTTGAGCGGTGAGTTTTGATAGTCCAGGATTCCTCATGATGGGGAAGCCACATAAAAGCTCGATCTGCTGCCAGCGGTGAAGGCGCTCTCGCAGGCAGGCCGTTACCTCTGACAACGCATTCCTGTGAAACGTACCAAACATTGTGTGATCAAATGTTGCATGTCTTTTAAGATATACCAAAACAAAACCTGAACAGGGAACTCTTTTCCTCACTTTGCCTCCATGATCTTGTGGTCAACCTGGTCTAGAGAGGAGCTGTGGGCCACATGGAGTGTCCCCAGCACCGAACTCCTCTTCTTCTTGATTCTTTCTGCCTACAAAAAAGTATGGGTTATGTAATGTAGTGTGCTAATTTTAGTGTTACTTCCAGTGTTTTGTTTTTGTTTTCATGCATTACCTCTTCTTTGGCAATGGCAAGCTGAAGTTCTGCACTCTGCTTTTTCACATTGTAGTACTGAACCTCTATCTCATGAGACAGCTGGAGCCACAGCTGAAGGGCGTCTGAGACGGTCCAACTAGCCAACATCTCCTTCTCTGCCTGCTTCAGTGCTCCACGGACCTGACCACAATGTCAGAAATCAATATGTAGTACAGGAGTTGCAGTTAAGGAATAAGTTTACCTTAAATATTATGTTATCTGACAATCTGCTGTTACATACATGTATAAGTGCCATGTGTTGTCATCATTGTATGTTCCCATACAATGATGAAATTGGTTCTCTGCATGTAACCCATCACACTTGAGATACACTCAGGTGGAACAGTGGGCATCTATGTAAGCACCTGGGGAGCAATTGGGATTGGGTATCTTGCTCAAGGATACCAAGACATGTGGGCATGGCAGAGTGTCGAGCTGCGACTTTCTGGTCCCAGGTTGGGTGCCCTACCTCTACACCATCTCGGCCCCCTGTTTGATGATTTCCATCCAACATAATAAATTTGACATTACTATTCCTTTGCCTTGAGGTAAATTAGTGTGGCAGACACAGTGATCTTTGCATCTGACCCTGTTCACTTGGTTTTATGAGTTTCCTTTTCAGTGTGCAACATTTAAGGAGAGGATGATTCATACCACAAAAACTTTATTAAGTCTCACACTTGTACAAAGTAATATTTACAT